TTAACGTCTATAATTAACCAAATGCTGCTTAGTTAAAACATTTTTTGGTTTAATTTAACAGTTTGCCAAAGCTATTGATAGATGGACCGTACGGTGCACCAGCACAAGACTATAGAAAATATGATGTTCTCTTATTAGTTGGTCTTGGCATTGGTGCTACTCCATTTATCAGCATCTTGAAAGATTTACTCAACAACATTGTTAAAATGGAAGAGCAAGCGGTAATACACCAAAATCTTTAAACCTTTTTTCTTTTCTTTTTTCTTTCATAAAGATTTTAATTTGATATGTGTTTTTTAACATCTCCAGGATTCGATCTTGGATTTCAGTAGATCATCAGAGCACAGCACAGGAAGCAACAGTGATAACACCAACAACAACAATACGCCGAGACGAAAGAGAATACTCAAAACCACAAATGCTTACTTCTATTGGGTTACAAGAGAACAAGGCTCTTTTGATTGGTTTAAAGGCGTCATGAACGAAGTCGCAGAGCTCGACCAACGGGTAAAAACAAACAAACTTGAAAATCAGAAATTAAACTCAACTGAGAAAATCGAAGCTGATCACTTGTTTTCCTGTGTGGGGAACAGGGTGTGATAGAGATGCATAACTATTTGACGAGTGTGTATGAAGAAGGTGATGCTCGTTCTGCTCTCATTACAATGGTTCAAGCTCTTAATCATGCCAAAAATGGAGTCGACATTGTCTCTGGCACTAGGGTACGTTACTTTCTTCTCTTTAATTCCTAACAAAAACGAAGTCGTGATTCTTTTGATTTCTCCAAAACGGTCCCCAATTTCTTGATTGTGGAAAAATGAACCCCACAACTCAAGATCTTTATAATTCTAAAGAAAATCTTCGATTTTTTTCAGGTGAGAACACACTTTGCAAGACCTAATTGGAAGAAGGTTCTCTCTAAACTAAGTTCCAAACATTGCAATGCAAGAATAGGTAACAATCATTCTCTCTCTCCTCGGTCGATACTTTTCCAATCTTCACAAAAAAAAAAAAAGAGAATATCTTTTTAGATTTGTAATCAATTTAGTCTCCACAATCTCGTTTTCTATCACAATCAAACAACAATAAAGAAAGATTCGGTTTCAATCATCAAAATGATTCATAAATCTTTTGATTTTTTTTTTTAAATGCAGGAGTGTTTTATTGTGGAGTACCGGTACTAGGCAAAGAGCTTAGTAAACTTTGCAACACATTCAATCAAAAAGGTTCAACGAAGTTCGAGTTTCACAAGGAGCATTTCTAAAAGACAAAGAAAGGAAGAAACCTAGATTCTTTAATTAATATATCACATTTAGCTACTTATACACACTTTAATTATTAAAAAAAAAAAAGTAATTAAACGTTAACACACTGTCAAAAGTGAGTGTGTTAACGATTAATTTTCCACACGTTCTCTCTAGGTCTACATATTCACCGAGGCATACGTGTAAATATAAGAGAAGAAGAATATTTAAGGGGAAGTTTGATAGAAGAAGCATATATAATAATATTATATTTTAGGGTTTTTTTTTATTTATATTTCTTGTATAGCAAGCAATGAGAAGAGGAGAGAAGGTGAGGTTTGGTGAGAGAAAGAGACTGTAATGTGTAAAATCCGACGTCGTTTTCCCGTTGTGCGGAGAAAGTGCTATACAGCTGCAAGGATGAGAGAGGATGGAAGCAAATCAAATAATGCGTTGATACGGTCCATGTGATTTAGGAAGAAAAAATATACATTTTTTTGTTGGATTTTTTCTTTTTCTGTTTTCAAAATAATTTTTTGCTGTTTCAAAAATTGTAGTGGAGTCGGTGAAAGAGAGATTACAGCTTCTAGAATCTTGGCAGGATATTTAGGAATGATGGGAA